AAAAAGAATAAATTCAGAGGCTTTTTGTACTCGCATTCAATAGAATTTCATTTTAAAATAGACTATATGGCTCTTTCTGAAATACATTTCCAAATATTTGCTTTCTTGGCTCTCTGAGTTAAAAAGGTTGCCGACCCCTGGACTAGGGTAAGGACACGGGAATAGGAACGTCCCGCTCAAGTATTAAAGGTGGCTCTGTGCAGAATTTCAGGCGAGGTAAATAAGAAAATGTCCCAACTCTAGCCCTGATCGTAGAGGTGAAGTTCTGCATTCCGTTCACGATGCACGTATATACACAAGCTGTCCTTTGTTGGTTCAATGTGCTTTTAAAGCTGTTATATTTGCTCCGGCAGCACTCCCCTCAACCGAACTGCAGCGTCTGCTTCGCATATTTCATTCTTCTCCTGCTTATCAGTTTCTGGTAGGAATCGTTTGCACTCCCGCAGATGGCAGTGCGCTACGTTTCAAGAAGGGCATTTATTCCCGTGTCTAACCATAAGCCTAACCCTACCTGAACCCTAATCTTACAAACCATAGTCTTAACGTTAATTTCCCTGGAATATAACGTCAGAGTGCCTGTACTAGTGGATGCTATGGTAAGGATTACTTATATGCCCCCTCCGCCAAACAGGACAGGGGAAAAGAAACGTCCCAATCAATTAATAAAGGTGGCTCTGTGCAGAACTTCAGGCAGGGTAAATATTCAAATGTCCCAACATTATCGTCAGCCCTAACATGAGGCACACAGTAGCCCGAACCTACCCTAAATGTTAAGACTACAGTCAGCCCTATCCCCAACCTTACATCTAACCGTCAACTTACTTCTTACCCCAATCGTAACCATCAAATTTCTCTGGAATTTCGCGCAAAGCAACTCGTCGTACGGGCGGTTTCTATTCTCCCGTCCATTTAAGGGGCCATATAAGTAACCCTTACCAACAGGCAAGAAGGGGCGCTAGCGCCAACATATGATTCTAGACATCACCGAGCAGTATGTGCTCCCTTCTAAAGCAGATTGAAGGCCCGCATGGGGCCTGCGCAACACCTTCACATCCCAGTCTACCAGTCCACTTAATATTGAGGTGGTGCAACAGAAATAAGGACCGAACAGACGAGTCACGAGAAAATTTTTTTAGTATTTGAAGTCATCTAGACAAATTTAAATAATGTAGAGTTTTACAAGTCTTTAAGCGGTCTGTGACCGAATAGGAACTAAGATAACCTTGAAAACAGTAAGATAAACGGAATTTATGGGGCATGGGTGCTTTCACAGTTAGGTCGATTGGTCCACAGGCACAAATGGGGAAGACGCAACAAGTTGTCGGAAATCTAAAAAAGTGGGATGACCATGAAAAGAAAGGGTTTGCCTTGCAGTGTCAAGTACTCCTTGCTATAGCTCACCTCCTGAATGAGCTGCTCACATTCCTCGAGTGTAATGTTCTCATCAAACGCCAGCATTATTCTGTGCAAGTCAGCGGCCCGAACTAGACCAGTACCTTCAGTTTGCGTAAGTGAAGTAAAACCGTAACAAGAGTAACAAATGAGAACCTTTCAAGGAGATATTAAAACACAAATTTGCATGCTTTATTCAATAAAACAAGTAAGCAAAACAGACCACATTAATAATGATGAACGATATCATTATTTTGAATAAAAATAATCGTTGATATAACAATACATATAGTGAAGAAAAATTTAGTGTTCATTATCAGCGTTTTCCAAACTTTTTCAACTATTTTCAACTTGGTTCGGAAACAACTCACGCTGATGGGCATTTTCTCTCCGCTGTCATATTACTAATTCAGTTAATTTATACACAAATGGGACATTCGTTCTTTTGGTAGCGTTTAAATCGCACACCAAAACTGTTTCAGAACATCACAGAGATGCTCGAGGAACCAGCCCGCGAACCAAGAATATCGTTTTAATAAGCCTGCGCACAGGGCCATTGAGTGAATTCTCACCGTGGCAGTTGTCCCCATTCCGCTTGACGCATACCAAGTCGACGTGCGTCGGATTGGTCTGTGCCAACACCACTTTCAGCTGTAGTCTGATGCTTGTGCAGCACAAAGACCTTGGTAATGAAGCAGGGCTATGCTTGCTTTTCATCCTACGCATATACCCCCTGTAGAGCACAGGCTACACATTGGAAGAATCGTTGCCCTTTCCGATAGCAAGCTCGTGCTCCGCTTCACCATTTACTCCTGTGACATTCAGCATGCCAGTGTCATATTCAGGTTTTTACTTGCAACTAACTGCGTGCTAGTAACCTGACTTAGCCGAACCAGTGTGCTTCTCTCCGCTTACTCATCTGCTGATCTCTCAGCTCCTGTGCCCTCTGACCTCGTTTGCTGCATTTGCATCCATTGGCTCCCCTCCGTCTTTGTTCCCCCGCCTTATCCGTATCCGCTTATATACTTGCAGCGAAGCGTCTGCTTCATTCGCGCGACTGCTCGTCCGATTACCTTGAATGCGTATCCAACCGCTTTTTGTTTTACTTCCGCCCTTTCTTTTTACCTATCGTGGCCTGTTAATATTACTGTTTATTCCCATAGAACCACAGAGAATATCTGAGTTATTCTGACTGCCTTTTGACTTCGGGTGCGTCTATTCCGGTGAAAAATATAACACTAAATTATGGGCAGGACTGACGTTAGAGGCCCTAAATACCGTCAACTTATAATAAAAAAACTACTTTTAAATGTTAAGTAGCCCGACATTACCGTT